CCCTCTCTCCCCCTCTCTCCCCCTCTCTCCCTCTCTCTCTCTGTCCAGCCCAAGTACTAGACCTAGTAGGATGTGTGAGAGTGCTTTGGTGTTAACTGAAATACATTGAACATCTACTCTGTTCATGTCCTGTGCTGGTGGTTTCCTCTATGTTACTAATGTGTATTCTCTATCCTTCAGTATTAACAAAGGATTCTTACTGCTCTGTGGTGATTTTCTTTTTTCCCTTTTTTAAAAATCAGCTTTTTCAGATTGAATGATTTCCTTTTTTTGTTGATTTGTTTTCTTTTCTATCTCTCCGATGTGTTTCCCTCTGCTTACCCCCTCCCTAACACCAAAGCAGACACCAGAAAATTCCTTAAAGGTCCAATTGGTTTTTATGAATAGAAGTGGGGCTCCTGTCTTCCCAACTGAACGGCCCATTGAAGCAACAGTTTTTTTTGTTTCTCCCTCCCCACGCTCCTCCCTCTTTCCTCTGTCCTTGGACTTAGAAGGACAACAGAAATGAACCTCAAGAACATAAAGAAACTAGTGGTGCTTGGGAAGAAAATCATCATTTGATTGTGATGATTGTTATCCTTTACACCAGCAGTTCTTAACCTGTGTGTCATGACCCCTTTGTAACAATGAAAATACATCCTGCATATCAGATATTTACTTTATGATTCATAACAATAGCAAAATTACAGTTATGAAGCAGCAATGAAAATAATTTTATGGTTGGGGGGGTCACCACAACATGAGGAACCGTATTAAAGGGTCACAGCATTAGGAGGCATTAGTAAGGTTGAGAACCACTGCTTTACACTCTACTAGCGGATGGCCTAGGCCTCACTTAATATCTTGTGATGAGAGCACCTGCTTTGTACTAGATCCATAGAGCAGTTAAAAATAGAAATATTAAATACTTCATCTTGTAATTACAACTTTTCTATGAATTTAAGATTGTTTTAAAGAGAATAAGAAAAATATAATGTGAATTTAATGTGACCAGAAAGCAATTTAATCCCCCTACTGAATTTTGGTTCTTTGGCAAATAAATACTCAGTTAACTGCAGAAAAATTGTTGACCAGGTGCAGTGGCTCATGCCTACAATCCTAGCACTCTGGGAGGTCAAGGCCAGAGCATCATTTAAGCTCATGAGTTCAAGACCAGCCTAAGCAACAGTGAAACCCTGTCTCTACTAAAAATAGAAAAAGTGGCTGGGTGAAGTGGTTCACACCTGTAATTTTAGCACTTTGAGAGGCCAAGGCAGGTAGATAGCTTGAGCTTGTGAGTTTGAGACCAGCCTGAGGAAAAGTGAGACCCCATTTCTACTAAAAGTAGAAAAACTGAGGCAGGAGGATCACTTGAACCAAAGAGCTAGAGGTTGCTGTGAGTTATGACACCATAGCACTCTACCCAGGGCAACAGCTTGAGACTCTGTCTCAAAAAAATAAACAAATAATAAATAAAAATAGAAAAAGTTAACTGAGTGTGGTGGTGCATATCTATAGTCCCAGGTACTTGGGAGGCTAAAGCAGAATGATCACTTGAGCCCAGAGGTTGAAGGTTGCAGTGAGTTATGATGATGCCACTGCATCCTGACCTGGGTAATAATGTGAGACTGTCTCAAAAAGAAAAGAAAAATATTTTTGGACAGATGCAGTGGCTCATACCTATAATCCTAATGCTTTGGGAAGCCAAGGATGGAGAATTACTTGAGGCCAGGAGTTTCTGACCACCTTGGGCAACATAGTGAGACCTGGGCTTTACAAAAACAATTTAAAAATTAGCCTGTAGTTCTAATTCCTCAGGAGACAAGACAAGAATGTTACCTGCATACAAGACCCCAGGTTTCAGTGAGGTGTAATCCTGCCCCTGCACTCCAGCCTGAGTGACAGAGATTCTGTCCCCTACCCCCCCCCAAATCCTGTTACTAGATATATTTGTATTGTAATATAAGAGGTTAGTTCTGTGAAGATATCCTTAAGTTATAATATTTGATCAAAGTCTTCTTTTTTTTTTTTTGAGACAGAGCCACAAGCTGTCCCCCTGGGTAGAGTGCTGTGGCATCACAGCTCACAGCAACCTCCTCCAACTCCTGGGCTCAAGCGAGTCTCCTGCCTC